GGGAGAGGGATGTGCACTTTTCAATGGCTCTAGCTACTGGGCTATACGGGTCAAGTGCTTCTTAAATCCTCTTTATCTAACTTAGGATTTGAATTTAATATCTTCAATTTAAAATCTTAAATTTTTAATGATTGAACTATCTTATTATAATATATAATATTTCTTTACCTATCATTATTTTATTTTATTTTTACTAAGAAGACAAATCCTCGTAATGAAAAAGCAATAGCAGATCCACGCAAATGTTTTACAACTAATCTAGAAAGGGGGGTGATTGAGTTGGTTGTGGCATTTTCTACTAATACTAATGCTGCTATAACATGACAAATTCAATGGAAGATTCAACACCAACATCATTTTCTCCGTTTTGCATAATTTATCCTCAATCATCTTTGACAAGGAGACATACCAACAGCAATTCATTGACAAGAAATCGCCCCCCACCCCTCCCCCAACCCCCCATCCCAAAAAAAAGAAAAAAAAAGAAAAGTCATTCAAAAGTAGCCACCACCACTACCAAGTCTTTTCCACGCAATGTTCTTCTTTTAAACATGTTTAACATTCGCACTAAGAACTCTCCAAATATAAGATACATATGTAATGACATCACTCTTTAAATTTATGAGTTTTTAATTTGATTAATAAGGAACAACTAATGATTATTAGTATATAGACAACTAAATTTTCGGTGTCGTTTATGAATATATTTTTATTAGTTGCGTAAGGTTATTTGAGAAGCTATTTTAATAACCTATCTGTAATTAATTATTGATTATGACTGCATTTGAATCATTAATCCAAACAACCATTACATTTTTTTATTCAGTTTAGGAAAATAATTTTCAAGATATTTGATTTTGGGACTAATTCATATGAGCTGTCACTGTTTTTTATTTTTTATTATTTTTTTAAATTTTAATCTGAGCCGTTGCGATAAATATCAAGCTTTGAAAATTCCACCAAATTAGACGATACATTCAAGTGGGAAGAAAGATGAGGGGGTCCATAGTCCATACATACATCACATTTTCTGGATGAAATACTTGGCTTTCAAGGAACGCAGAGGAGCAGATCTAACTTGGAAAAACTCAACTGTCCAATATAAGGTGTGACGTAGGACAACTTCACCGTTTTTGGGTTAAAGAAAGAAATTCTACCTATATCCCCTCCCTGCTCTTCTCCTCTACCATTTGTTTGTTCACTTTAGACTATTAGACTCTAAATTCTGCAAGTCTTAAACAAAATCGGTAGTTAAAAGTATGTCTAGTTGTTTGTTCATCGAGAAAATTCCCTTCTGCTACAACTACTTTTATTGGCCTTAGTTTGGACAGGATTGTAAGGAAGAAGCTAGTAACCTACAATTGGTAATCTGAATAGAAATGAGACTATCCTAGCTAATAGCATGAAGGTAGATTGCTTGGTACTTGCAATTATTGGTAGCCTTGAGGCCCTCCACTCACTAGTGCACCCATATAGGCCATTGTTTCTTTCCAATGTGAGATTGGAGCAACACATGATTTCCATTTAGTGGAACTATATCAGTAATCTACTGGGGAGATCTTGGCAACAGGAAAACAAGCTGGACTCAATTAATATACAAAGATATAATTTTAAAGAGGAGAGATTTATTTATATATAATTTTTGTACATTTAATTTATATAAAATTTTAACTATTTATTTCTTTACTTTTAATAGTTAAGATTTATTATATTTTTGAGATGAAAAATAATTTTTTTTAATAAATATATATAAATCTCAATTATTAAAGTGAAGAAATAAAGGATTAAATTTTATAAAAATATAAAATATAAAACTTGTATATAAATAAATCCCAACTCAATTTGAAATTTAAAAAATTAACCTATTAGATTCATGCATATTTAGATGTATATTTATGTGATTCTCAATATATTTTTGATAGGAGAAAATTTCAAAATCAACATGTGAGGAGGAGCTCAAATTCAGACAACCTGAGATGATTCCCACTAAAATAAGTCTTCTTTCCCACTTACCTCTTGAAACCATGTTTTGCATGCTCTTTATTTTATTTTTATTTTTTTTGAATATGGAGGAATT